GTCTTAAAACCTTCCAAATGAAGGAAAACCTTCCAATGGAACAACACTGGATTAAACTCATTGAATGGAACGGTTATGCGTGTTACGTCACTGACGAGATTATAAAATAAAGCTATTAGACTAGTTCCAAGTAAATTTTCGTTTTTCTCACGTAAGCTTGGTTGGATCGGGAATAATTGAAAAGTACAGACATTATTACGATTGTCGGATATACGAGATGTGAATTTCTCGACCGTCGATATAAATTATAGTTACAAGATTGTGCCATATATATATATTTCAAATTTCAAGAGTTTATATAAAAAAAATTGTACATATTGTTTATATTAAATTTACTTAAATATTTTTCATTTAGACAATATACATAAGCAATGTAAATTATTATAATATATATGTATAATTGTTAATATATCTGATTTTAGTGTACCCACACACAATTTACTACAATATAGGCTTCGATATTTCTGATAGATTGTTATATAAATAACAAGTAAAGCATATAGTTTACATTATATACACGTAGATGTAGATTGTTATTATTATTTTACGTGTAAACGTACAACCCTGATTTATAATGCAATATTCATGATTCATTACTAATACTGGATAGGATAAACAAAGCATGCATATTTGCGATAATATTATTATTAATGATATTATATTATTTGTATTCTTTTGTAAATATTTTTGTGGATGAAGAAAATGACAAGTCGATGTTATCGGCAGAGGGGCAAATTTTTGTTGGAATAATTTCAAATGATAAAGAAGATGGCTCCACGAATCCATAGATTCGGTGTGTATTATTAGCAAACTGTATCGAGTTGGGGGTATATAAATAATAAAATAATGAATTATTCATTTGTTTTTAATCCATTTCATCTTTGATTCTTATTGAAAATGTATTAGCTGTGTACGAATATTGTCATTCTACATATCATATACAAAATTAATTTTCATATGATAATATTTATGTCATATAAAAATATAATATTATATATATATATTTAAATATTATACATTTTAAATATTATATATTCATTATAAAATTAATTTTGCTAACAGTTTATTTTCATGCTTACACGACAGTTCTTTTTTGATAAATCGGTAGAAGTATCCATGCATATCCAATTTAAAATAATTATTAATTAAATTGCTTTTTTTTATTTTTATTTGCTGTTTTTTGAAAATATTTTTTCAAGAACTTTTGGAATTATTAATGTTACAATATTTCGATCTCCCATGTAATAACATATTCTCCCGAAATTAGAAAAGACATTGGCTGCGTATAATAGAAAAAAAAACAGCTTAATTTGCAACTGTTGTTGCAAATTTTTTAATACAATGGTTTATACATTTTGATCCAGTAAAATACTAAGGATGAAATTAATCAATTTATTAATGTATTTTACAACAGTTGCTTTTTCTGCTAAACGTAGTCAACTATTAATCGTTTGACGCAAAAATAATTAACGCTTGTTTTTTTAATAATTCGATGACAGTGTCGCCGATCGTCACTTAATTTCAAACTTGCAGGTCATACATTAAGAAAATGCATTCTCGCGGAACGAGATAATGTGCTGAAACGATTACGTAAAATTATATTGGTAACTTTTGGGACCTGGAAAACAGACGCCCGCCTCGACGACGAAGTATGGTATATACATATAATATTACGTTGGAACTGTATTAAGAGCATGAAATATGACTGAGCGTACCGGCGGCTATATTATTACTCCGATCCATCGTGTCATAACTATTATAACATGACCCGCATAGTAAATATTAAACACCGAGCCTGGTCCGAGCATTATACTATCGCGAAATTTGACGTAGCTCAAAATCCAGATTAAAGAAACGCAAGACATTTGTTATTTCCTTGTTTATAAAAGAAGAGGCAAATCTGAAAAATTTGACGCATAATCCCAGATAGCAACATGTCTATCTTGTTGCTGGCATGTTGCTTGCTAAGTATACATTGTTAAGCATGTGTTGCTACCAGAATTGCAGCAACTGAGTCCTCATTTGTTGGCAACTTGATATGAAGCCTTCATGATGTGATAACTTTGAGTAGCAACTTGCCAGCAGTTTGCCGACAACTTTAAAATCGTCATCATCAAAATTCGCACTACTGCCATCATGTTGCCATAATAATATGCAGCATCATGCAATACATACTTTCATATTGCCGACGACACAAGATAACATTGATGCAGCTATCTTGCTGTTAAACTGTTGGCAATACATATACACATTGTTGCCTACATGTTGCTACAATGTCGGTATATTTAAAATCGTTGAAGACAAATCTATGGCAAGTTGCCAACATTTGTCTTCATTATAGGCAATCACAGATTTGTGTGATTTTGCTGAGACAAGCTTTGCTATCTAGGATAACCTAATTTAATATTTTATTAATAAATAATTTACCATTGAGAAGATATATATTTATTTATTAGAAATAACGTAATATTTTATTATTAAATATTATTTATTATCTATTGAAATTATATATTTATTCATTCATTATTTATTAGAAACAATTTAATATTTTGTTGTTTAAAATAATAAAATCTGGCATACTGCTCCGTCGTTACTGTGTAAGGCGATAGATTAGTGAAACGCGCCGCGTGAAATGTCTTCGTTGCAATTTCGCAACAATGCACTGTCACCACTTTGTTTCAAAACAGCGGTCTATCGATTATTGTTAACTATTTTGAGGATGGGATACCGGACAATTTTAGCAAATCTGCCCACAGTGCGGCCAAATATTTAGTTAGCCGCAAGGTTTGGCGCATAGGGCGCATACTTTCCGATATTATAAGCCAAGCTTGAGCGGCCTCGACGTGCGACCATTGATCAAATAGTTGATCTTAGTTGCGATTAAAATGCTGGTATGTGTTAACGCGTGTTTATTGCTAAATCTTACTTGTCAAAATTTCAAATCGATTGCAATACGGCCAAAATACTTGACGTTACGCGAAACGGGAAACATTTCTGATATATAAGATAAAAGAAGTACTTTAGACACACGTACATATATTAAATAATAATTTATGTAGATATCAACTTGACTATTCTTAAATGACGTTTTATTATTGCACGAAAAGAACAGTTTGTTATAATAAAAAGCTAAAAATTTAGCTATATATACAGATTTGAAAATAACTTTATTAGATCATCAAAGTAATTTAGGGCTCGAGCCAATTACTAGAATGTTTTATAGCATTGTCCATTAATTATGCTTAAGTGTCATGTATAATTATATATTTTGACAGTCCAATAAAATTATTTTTAGATCTGTATCTAGTTAAATTTGAATTCTTCAGCAAAATCGTTCTGTGTGTAAAATATAATAAAGTATGATTAAAACGTCGAAAATAATTTAAGTGAAAATTCGTAAAACATCAAATATTAATGTACATAACGAATAAAGTAAATTATATTAATTATATATATAAAATATCCGCTCTCGTAAATATTTAGTCTTATATTCTGTTGACAGGAAGAGAGAAAGAGGAGGGGAGGGGGGAAGATGCAACTATGTCACGCAGTTCAGCTATTTTAGTCGGTGGTGATTAATTCTGGCGTTTTTTTTCGTGTATCCATGCAGCTTGAATTTCCTAAATTCACGAGCTGGTTTTGAGCCCGTCCAGAATTCCTCGCCGCTCAACATTTTAACAATTCGGCGCCCGCCATAACTGCGCGTAACTATGATAATTATGCGTCTCTTTAGCAGCGTCGTTTCCTGTAAACCCGCGTCTCCGCGATTGTTCGTGTTTCGAGTTGTCATTCCGTTTTCCACGGCACATAAGAACGTCGTGCTTTCTTTCTCCTTCGTTTTCCCCCCTTCTTTTCCTTTACTTCGTTTTTCTTCGCGAGTGGAATTACTCCCGATATTTCAGACGACGTCG